CCCCCAGCCCCTCCTCCCTAAGCCCAGGAGTCCAGGCCCCCAGCCCGTCCTCCCTCAGACCCAGCAGTCTAGACCCCCGTCCCCCCCTCTTCCTTCAGACCTGTGACCTGTATGAGTCCAGGTCCCAGCCCTCTGCTCTCCGGAACCGGAGTCTGGCTCAGCCCCAGTCTTTCCAGGAACTCAGACATCCCGAATCCCAGCGCCCTTCTGCACCCAAGAATCTGGACCGCTGTTCCCACCCTCGGGAGTCCCCGCAGCCTCACCTCGCAGGCTTGCGGCCGCGGAGCGGGAGCAGAGGCGACAGCTGCAGACGGGAAGGGTCTGCGGACTGGGTGGGGACGGTGNGCGACCCAGGCCCTGGGCGGTCTCCAGGGGAGGCCCCGGAAGGCCGTTGCCATGGCAATCCGCCTGTTTAGCATTTGTTTAGAACCCAGACCCTCAGCCCAGGTCTCCACCCCGGTCCCATCACTCTCCGAGGCCTCTGCCTCCTGCCCGCCCCGCCCGTCGGCTCCAGCCCAGCCTTCCAGGACTTCTGGGGCGAAGCGGGCTGCCACCGGGCCCCAGTTTCACGGGGTCTGGGGGCTAGGGAGGGTCTCTGTCTCCTGGGGCCCTGACAGAGGAAAGAGGCACCCATTCCTAGGCGTCAGGAGGTTCCCGGGCTGTGGTCCCCGACTCCTGGGTTCCCAAAAGAACAGTGGTTGGATTTTCTATAATTAAGGATCGGAGGGTCCCCTAATCGTTATTTACACTGGGACTGGTGATGCGAGGACTGGCGGGATGGGCCCCTGGGTCCCAGATGTCACATTAGGTGGAGTGGGGGAGGGGTGTTGGCAGCAAAATTCCTGGGATCTAGGGCGGTAGGAATTGGGGGCACCGACTCCCGGGTTCCCCCCGACGCCCAGGCTGGGGACCCAGAGTCTCGGCTCGGAAGAGCAGTGAGAACCTCAGACGCCTGGGTTTTCGGAGCAGATGTGGCTGCAAGCGCGGCCTCCTGGGTCTGGAAGGGAAAGATATTTTCGGCCAGCATTCCTGGCTCCTGGAGAGAGGGAGGGGCCCGAACGCTAAATGAGGACGCGGGCTGGGGGCGCCAGGTTCCGGGTTCCTGCAGGAGGGGAGGGGCCCCAGGGGCGCGCGAGCTCGGTCCCGGAGCCGGGCGGGGCTGCGGGGTCCTCGAGAGGCGGCTCCGGGGCTCGGACCCGGACGCACGGGCCGAGAAGCCAGTGAGAGCTGAAGGTCTGGCCGCCCGCGTCCCTCCCCGCGGGCCGCGCACTCACCG